AGAGAGGTGTAGAGAGAGAGAGAGAGAGGTGTAGAGAGAGAGAGGTGTAGAGAGAGAGAGAGAGAGGTGTAGAGAGAGAGAGAGGCTCAAACGGCGAGTGACTCAGTGTCCCGAGTACGATTTAAGTGTTACGAAGTTTCCGAGTGGCGGCTAAGGTCAAGATGTGTTACGTGTCTGGCTGTGGCCCGCCTTGGAAACTAAGGTCATGCTCCTGTACTCCAATCGCACACTGGCACATGCCAGCCTGATCGCTGGAGCCAAGTGGGAAGTGTGATTTCTCAGAAGAGTATTTCATTAGAACACGTAATTTTCACGAGCAAAATTAATTAATTGATTTGAAGGTATTTAAGTAAATTGTATCTTTCACGGCTGAAGAACCGGGAGAGATGGCTCAGGGCATCAAGTGATATCACTAACCGGGAGGTCCGAGGTTTTAGTGCCGACGGTGGTAAAATTTTCGAAATTAGTTTGTCAGCTAGGTCGAATTGAGTCGCTGTCTGGAGGGGAATTCTAGCGGCCGGCTGCTATGATCGGTAGTTTTCCGTGGTTTCTCCGATCCAAATTAGGCGAATGCTAGAGCAGTACCGTATATAACAGGCCGCGGGTCGCACGCGATCTTTCTGGTGGGAGATACCTGGTTGGGGAAATCCCTGTTGGCCGACGGTAGGTCGGCGCCGGATCTCGCCCATAGTATTTGATCTCCAGAAGAGGATCATGAACTACACTTACGGGAGAAACGACCATAGTATTTGCCGCGCCCGGAATCAGTATCAATCATGGCCGAAGTAAAAAATGTAGCTTTTGTTAGGTGTAGCCAGTTAATTCAGAAGTTCTAGTACGCTGGTTAACTGAAAATTTCCGACCTCATCGAGATAACTTTCGTTATGAGATGGTGTATTAAGATGTAGACTTCGCATTTCTTCAAAGCATTGGTCATATGTAAGGTTAAGACACCTTCGGTAGTCAGTATACACGAACCTGTTCCGCCTACACTACGTGCGGTTTACGCTGCAAATTCCTTTGATGCGTGTGGTAAAAACCAACGGAGCGCGGCCCGCATGCGCAAAAATTCTTGCGTGCGTTCCTGTCCACACTACAAGAATTTTTTTTCGCTCTCGTATAATTTTACGTTGTGCGCGGCATGGACGTCAATTTGCTCGGGCGTTCCGGTTCGTCAAACACGTTCGCACTACAGGAATTCAGTTGACATGTGCAGAATTTTGCTGTGTGCGGCAAAGTAAATTTCGTTGGGCAGAACGTAAAGTTTTGTAAGGGAAGGCCCGCGGCTTAAGCTTTAATACATTGTGTACACCCTAGAGTGGTGCAGAGTAGTGACTTGGCATCGAGGAAAAAACATCTATGATGAATAAATACTAATTTAACCTTTACAATCGCTTTAAAAAATATTTTCTAACTTTATACCTACATGGTATTCTATTGACTTTGGAAGTACTATTTATCACATCTGTAATAATAATGAGCCATTTAATCTACTCCAAACACGTATGTAAACAGCGTATAAACGCGATCTGATGAGATAAGATTCAATTTTTTTTAAATTCTCAAAGCCTAAAATATTGTTACCGAATGGCACATCAGCAAAGCACAGACTAAGGTTACCGAAAAGGTCTGTTTAATGCCCAGAGGCCCCTCTGCCCCTACATTCATTCTATACACTGTGCGTGTGTGTGTGTGTGTGTGTGCGCGTGTGTCTGCGTGTGTGTTTATGATTGAGTAAGATAAGGACCTTCTGGCAGCAGCTGCGTTCCCCTCGCAGGCAAACAAACGATGGAAGCGTATTTCCGGGCATACGCAATTGCATTGCTCGTGTGTAGAACATCCCATATGTCTGATTGCCAGGGGCTGGAAATGACGAATCGCTAAATTCCGCCTAAATATATGTAGAACGAAGAAAAAATGTATATAAATATGTAATGAAAACTATACGTATATGTAACGTGATAGATCGTATTTCCGGGTTTAATGGTTCCGTTAAGTGTAGTGCGTGTTTTTTCTAGTGGTAGCGGTGATCTTCCTCTGCTGGATGGCGAGATCCGGTGCCGACTTACTGCCTGTTAGTCGGATTTTTATCAACAAAGTATCTCCATCGAGGCACCGCCCCAGCCGGGACACGCTCTAAGTTTCCGACCGGTCTCCCGGCATGTGTAGCAGTGTAGTGCATGTTAGTGTGTGAGTTAGTGTTAGTAAGGGGTGGGATAGGACAAGGAAGAGGAAGGAAAGATAGCGCGTAGACGGCAGACGATTTGATGCCAGTACAAGTACTGCTCCGGCATTCGTCTGGAGTTCGCAGTAACCACGGAAAACTATTGATGAAGGCAGCCGGCCGCTAGAATTCTCCTCCAGACAGCAGCTTAATTCAAACTTGTCAACCTAGTTTCAAACACCTTGCCACCATCGGAGCCTTGGCTTTTCTTAGTCACAGAGCTGCAGAAACGGAGACATTATTGGAAAGCTTCAACTGATTTTGGCCAATATTATACGAAATATCAAAATTATAGACCACATACAACTTAACAAAACAAATTTACACTATTGAATGTACTTTAACAAAATATTTATTAGATCGTTTTAAAAATATTGTTTGGCATAACTGATATACTTGTCTAAGAAGTCGTGTTTCTTTAACGCCGAAAAAAAAGAACCGTTGGAGTATAAGATCCATGATACTGTAACAAGATTCCTTGTTACAGTATCATGGATCTGGTATAATCCAACGGTTCTTTTTTTTCGGTGCGCGGTAATGACAGCCTCATTTAAACGTGGGAGCTCCATGACCGACAAAAAAATCACTAATGTTGTCTCGGTAGTGTTAGAGGTCTGCGACAACCAGCATTTCGCGGAAATTGGGATTAAAGATCAAGAAACATGACGTGATTGCTACTTCCCACGCTGAAAGGTAATGTGAGCGCTCTCACCATTTTGTCGCAACATATACGGCGTGAAGACGTAGGTTAACCGCAACAGATCGCGTGTAACTGATCGCATCTTCAAGTGGGTCACCTCACGTAATTAAATGCAGTTCCGAATTCGGGTGAGAAAAAAAATGCCAATTTTCGAATAGAAAGTATTTTCAAAAATTGAGGAATTTTTTTGCGAAATAAATTTCAAGAAACTTTGTTGAATGATGCAAAGTTTTACAAAATATGTAAAATGTAAGCGAAATATATTAAGTACGTATTGTACGAGTACAAAATATGTAACAAAAACTTTGAATGTTATGTTAGGATTGTCACGATTCGCCACGCTGACAACTTGAAGATCTGAACATAGAGAAAAAGTATGCAATTACATTAGAATCCGCACTCTACAAGTCGCGAATGTATTTGAGGTTTTTTGACTTTGAAGAGTAACGTCCAATAATTCGAATCGTATGGCGTAATTCCTACTGTAATTCTCCAAGAAACTTAGTATTTTTTGCTAATCTTTGTCATATAATTTCCTCCTTCCTGAAAACGAGTAACTAATGGAGATAAAAATAGTGGCACAATAGGGGAGTAAATGTTGTATAATTTGGGACTGAAGATAGAAAAAAACGCAATTAATGTTACACAATTTTACAACAACGTAAAGGTCGATACACGATCAAGAACGACGGAGCATGTTCTTGTTTTGCTGCCAGAAAAGATTCCTAAACAAGCGATGGAATGTTGGAAGCGATGGAATGATGGGCGTAGAAGAAAAAAGAAAAAGAAATGGAAAACGAATGGTAGAAGAAAAAAGAAAAAGAAATGGAAGACGAATGGTAGAAGAAAAAAGAAAAAGAAATGGAAGACGAATGGTAGAAGAAAAAAAAAGAAATGGAAGACGGATGGTAAAAGAAAAAAAGAAAAAGAAAATAATTATAGTCCGACACATCGATACGCCAGAAATTGACAGAATAGTTTTGTGTTCTCTGAAGATTTTAATCAGACTCTACATGCAAACGACTTCACGCCGACGCCAAACGCGTCGGATCGTTTCGTTGGCGGCGACGGCGACCACGGCGGTGGCGGCGGCGCCGTGCCGTGACCTGCAATCAGCCTTGAAGTTCCCTCGGCCCGGTTGTTCACCTCGACGGCGCTGCGACTGCACAGCCTCCTGTGACGCAAGGCGTCCCCCCCCCCGCACCAGCGCTTCAGGCGGCCCAGACACACGGCCGACCCGCGCAGCTCGACGCGTCGCGGGCAGGGAGCTGGGAAGTGGGGACCGGAATCATGGGGACACGTTGACGAAGTGACACACTGCTTGTTGAGGGAGGAGAGGAAAACGAATGCTTTGTGATTTAATAAGCTATTTTGCCTCCCATCGTTGCTGTTTCTGTCTCTCTCCTCATCCTCCCCTATCTCTCCACTATCTTACCCTTATCCCTTCCTTTATCTCTCTTTCCCTTCCTCTTCCTCCCTCCTACCCTCCTCTCTTGTTCCTCTTTCTTTCTCCTTTTGCTCCTCTTTCTCTCTCTCCATTTTCTCCTTTCTCCTTCCTCTCTTTCTCCGTCCCTGACCTCCCTCCCATCCCTTTCTCTTTCGTTCTCCCTCTTTTTCTTCCACTCTCACCCTCCCTCCCTTCTCCATCTTTCCCTACGCTCTTATTTCCTCCCTTTTCCTTCCCTTCCACTCCCTTCCTTCCTCATTGTTTCTCCCTCCTTCCTTCCCGTCCTTCCTCTATTCCTTCTTTCCTTTCCCCCCTTTTCCTCTTTTCCTCTTTCCCTTTCTCTTTTCCTTCCTCTTTTCCTTCCTCTCTCTCCTTTCTCTTTTCCTTCCTCTCTCTCCTTTACCTCCCAATCTGTCTCCCACCTCTTTTTCTCTGAGCAAGCGGCGGGTCTCGCCGATGCTCCGCAAAAAAGCGCTGGGCAGTGAGGCCAAGAAGGCCGCCCACTTCAGCTGCTCCGGTGCAAGAGTCTACCCTGGAACCCGTCTGAATGTGATCGGATATTGACTTCACTAAAGTGACTGGTGGGAGTGTCAGGCCTCTGGAATTCTCATCCAGGGAGTGGCATCGTCTGCCAGGGCTACTTTGGCGCTATCGAAAATCTGCTACCGTCGGCACTCGATTCTCAGGGCCTTCCATTTACTAATCTTCGGATGTGGTCTCTCGGCTTATGCTGATGAAAACGCACAGTGTCTACCGAGAAGTCGACAATGTTGAGTGGATTTTCGTAACTTCACTTCCATGAGCGTTACCGATTCGTTGAAAACGAGGAACCGCTTAACGAGACCATAAAGGATGCTGCATCAGCAAATGCTCAGATTTTCTACCGGCTTTCTGATAAACCTTATGCCTCTTTAACTTTCCTTTGTCTTCCAGCAGAGAAAGTTCCCATCAAATGCCATCTCCAACTTAAATACCGATATTCGTAAGAGTTGTTCGTCAAATCTCCCCGACTAAATCGTTTTTTTCATCTTCGTTTCATGAATATAGGAACTTTATCTGATGTATTATACTTCTCCAAAGCTTAGATTTGTTAGAGAATATGAACACTTTTGTCAAATGGAATGGTTATTTTTTTTTGGATTTTTTGATTAGCCTTTGAATAATAGTTTTTGATGAATATTTTAAATAATTACTTAACTGAATTAACTTATTGAAATAATTTTTATTAATTGGTTCCGTGATTGATATAATTAGTATTCTGTTATTGATATGCCTTATTCACGTATGGAATATAAGCAATTAATGAGAAGAGGAGACCTGGGGACATGTTGGAGCATTGTAGGAAAGGGGTAGAGAGAATCTAGGCTGAAAGAGGCATGGAACTTTTCTAGATGTTCAAATATTTGGTTGATAGGAAACTTAATCAAAGAAGAGAGAATCTAGACATCTCCCGCGATAAAAAATGCACTACACTTACGGGACTTTGCCGTTGACCCGCAGAACAACTAATCATTCAGTTAATCCTGGATAGGTAAATGCGGTAATGGTTCAACTTTTTCTATTGAATAGGGTGTCTCAATAAATGTGGATGTGTATGGGATTCGAAGAAAATAACTTAAGGAAAGTGTACCCTAGACATTTGGCATTTATTCTGAGACATCTGAGTGATGGTAGAGGCGAGTGAGGGATAAATGGTGTGAAATACAAGTAAATACTTATTAATGAATTACTGGTTCACAATGATTACAGTGTGGAATGAGAACTCCGGGTCGATAATTTATAAAAATTAAAGGACATTTTGTACAGTGGAGGTTCGTTTAATTATCATATGATTCCACCCATCGTTTCATCTTGCTAAAGACTGTACTCTACATAATTGATATGTTAGTATCAATTGAGGGGTTTTAGTAAATGGACTGACGTATATAATCATTCGCGAAACTTCGTTTACAGTAACAAAGAACGACTACCCTTTGTTTCATGGTCTACCTTTAGTCACTCAATGTTTTATAGGGAGCCAGGAACCTTTGGTCACACCGGGCCAAATCAGTGCCTCCTGTTAAAAGTTGTATTTATGTTGATAGCAACCAGATCATTGGGAAACAAGTGAAGAGGACAACTCTATTAGCGTCCGTTATGATTGCGGTGTGTTCGCAATTTACGTTCCCTACTGTTACAAGTTAGTGCTGCCAACATAATTTGTGTTGCTCTCACCAACAAGGTGACTCTGTGGGGAGTCTTTCGTAGCGCTTTGTGTACACTTAGAGCTTACCCAACAGTTATCATGGTTTGTCACGTTCAGTTGTTTCTGGATACAAGTGAACAGCTTACCTGTGGACAAGAGAGAGAGATTGTCAAACCTACAACTAATGCAGTAACACTCGTTTAATACTTCACTTATTTTAGCTATACATTCACCTATTACAAATAAGCAATTTTTTATAATCGTGTTATTTCATTACCTCTTGTGCTGGTAATATTAAAGTAGTCGAGAACTAAGAGTTGCCCTTCGGGTGGCTCATAGACACCGTGTTACATTTCCATGGGGGTAATATCGGGTTCGTGTCCAGATCGGAGCAAAAATGGATCTGCAGCTTTCTAATATAAACTTATTTCCTTTAGATATGTGCCGAAAGAAATCTCCGGCGGGTCAAATAAGCTTTTTTTTTCGAGGAGAAACTGTGGAAAATGTTCAAAAGACGAAGAGGAGCCGGCACTATTCAACAGTGTGAGATTTTTACCCACTGAAACCACAAACCCCTCATGTTTCTGGAGGTGTCCACCATGGAACCGCAACTATGCATTACGTCAGGATGGTGCCAGAGCCAAATAAGCTAGGTGCGGCGATAGAAGTATAACATGCTCGCCACATGCCACTCCTCCATACCCAGGCGTGGATAATAAAGAAAAGTGGGGCCCGGTTTAGGACGGAGATAGTAGAAGGCTCATTGGGCGATAGCTGTTGGTGTTTGCTGAATTTTTATTTTGTTTCGGAACGAGAAGAATGATGGCATGCTTCCAGGTGGATGGAAAACGCGAGCTACCTGTGCACTCATCGACCGTTGAAGCGCGAGCGAAATACACAATAATGCGTAGTAGAGCCATTTCATCGCTGTTTAGAAAACATCGGGTAGCTTAATGCGAGCTAGAGATTCTAATGGTCCAAAAAGATTGAGTTAGTAATTTTTGATGGTAAGTGATGAAGTAAGATTTGATTGAGTTAGTAATTTGTTACATTGTATTTCTTGTGTGCTTTCTTACACGAATTGGGAATGTAATGTTTACGCCGAGGTTGCTTGTCGATGTTTTTGAGACGGTTTTCAGTGTAGTAGTATTCCTCCTGTGTGACGTCACGAAATTGCCCAGCTTGTACGGTTGGGTGAGCGGCGTGCGTTACGGTTGCAGGATTAAGCTAGAAGTCGATGTTTTTGCGACGGCATTCCCTGAAGCCGTCACCCTCCTGTGCGATATTAGCCGAGCAGGTTGGGTGAGCGGCGTGCGATGATGCACTTGCAGGACACGTAAAGCAAGGAAGTCGATGTTTTTGGGACGGCATTCAGTGTGGTCTCAAAAATCGCTCCTCTGTGACGTCAGTGGTTCACAACTTCCTCGCGCGAAATCTACCTGCTACGCATCTTTTCCGAGTAACGTATGATGGTGACGTACTATGCAGCATATCTTGCATTCCCGCCTGCTGATTTCTATCATCATCATTCGCGCAATTCTAAATGTTTCGTCTTAAAATGCGTTGATTCATTCGTGAGGAGTGGAAGTAACATATCCGGAAGTATTCCGTACTCGAGGCGTGTGAGCGAAACCTCCCAAAAGCATATCGTGTACATGTGGCTAGTCTGGAACTAAAGTGGTCTATAGTACGAATCATAAAGTGACTTTTAGACCAATTAAGAATTGACTAACATTAAAACTATGTCAATACTAAAGTGGTTCCTTTTATTATGCAGCACTTAGAACGACAAATGACACATAATCCGCTTTAGAGAGTGTAGATGCTCACCTGTTCAGATCAAATTTACCTTTACCTAGGTTTTAACCAAAATGTTTCATTAACCACTTGGTTCCAAGGCCGCCATATTGTAATTGAAATTAACCAGCAGCGGTAGCTGAGTGGCGGCTACACCATTGTCTCCACAGCTTAGTTGACCTGGAGGATTTATGATTCGAGGTGAAGATCTGCTCGCCAGGGATTGTTTGTTGACATGAACCATTAACTCGTGTTCTGTATATTATTGCTCATATCACCTGCATATTTAACGACTTAGTCCTAATCTCAAATTTACGTACGATGAGTACAGAAATGGCTCGTTTCACGGCTGAGTGTACAAAATAAGGTATATTAATTTCGGTTTGTACCAATTGTTTAAGAAATTAGAGGTCTCCTTTTCACTTTTCAAGAGGCTATCTTTGTTGAGAAAAAATATTTTAGAACCTAAATATTCGAGGTTTACCATTACATGTGTAGTTATACACATACGAGGCGAAAATTCACCCAAATTCTGTGTATCCTACTTGGGTTGCAGTGACGTGTTGACAGCTGACTCTGGTTAGAAGGATTTACGGCACTTAGCGCGTGCCACAACGAGCCATGTGATCAATTGCGCAGATAAGACTCCGAGTGCAGTCGCTGAACGCAACTTGA